TTAATATATAAAAAGACAGAATACAGATTACAGGCTAGTGTCAGACTGGTGCTCCAGTCCGGGTCCTCTCCCTTGCACACCCAAAGCAAAAAGACCCTGTTTCAAGACAGGCTATCGATGAAAAGCACACAGTCACATGACCTGATAATTGAAAACACATGTCTCACCATCCTTAGGTGAACACAATAGCTCCTTTCTCCAAAACACACAAATAGCCCCTGTGTAAGTAAGCCTGAGGCTATAACAGATGTTTTCTGCGCTCTTAATTTAACTTCCTGTGTATAATAGCTGGGGGTTTGACTCCGCACATTCTTGTCTCCTGCCTGGATCAATACTACTAGTTTTTAGATCCACACTAGACTAAACGTTACATTTATTAATATGATAATAACACAATAACATACTCCATTGACACATAGTTTTTCCAATGTGGTTTTACTGCAAATGGCAAAACATTTCTTGAATCTTATATATCTCTATGGTTTGGGCTTAGTATGTGAAGCAACAACTACATTTTCATGAAAACAGTTTGTCTCCAGTAACTACATGTCTGTGATGGAGAACCTCTGATGTGACCCTTTTCTTTTGAATCAATCCTTTTGAAACGGTGTGTTATTTGACATCACATTAACTTCATGAATCATACATCACACGAGCAGAGCGTTTATAAATGTCAGCAATTTCTTCAACCACTTTGCACTTCTACTTCAGTCGTTTTGCCTCCTCCCCCTCGGACAAACAAGACGTGTGATGAATTGGGTCCACGGGGGGATTTCAATGTTATGTAAAATTAAACTGAATACATTCACCGTGACATTTTGTGTAAGGTCATTTTTCAACAGTGACGGTGCCAAGTTCAGGGTAATTGAAATTTGGACGCCGCGTTTGCCTGTAGCTATCCTTGGATTAGAGCGAGCAGTGAGAGCTACACGCCCACTACACCGAGCTGCCACGTGCTCCCGATGCACCGCGGAATAATGTGCTTCACGGGCTGAATCCACAAACTGTTAAATAAGAAAAAAATACAATCGTCCAGTTGGGAATGTTCTCCATGTCCTGAGAGAAGATACAACTTGTTTTGATCTTCGAACTCTGAGGAGCTCAAAGGACTCTGAGGAGCACAGGGACTGGACTCCTGCTGGGACTCTGAGGAGCACAGGGACTGGCCTCCTGCTGGGACTCTGAGGAGCACAGGGACTGGTCTCCTGCTGGGACTCTGAGGAGCACAGGGACTGGACTCCTGCTGGGACTCTGAGGAGCACAGGGACTGGACTCCTGCTGGGACTCTGAGGAGCACAGGGACTGTTCTCCTGCTGGGACTCAGAGGAGCACAGGGACAGGACTCCTGCTGGGACTCTGAGGAGCACAGGGACTGGACTCCTGCTGGGACTCTGAGGAGCACAGGGACTGGACTCCTGCTGGGACTCTGAGGAGCACAGGGACTGTTCTCCTGCTGGGACTCTGAGGAGCACAGGGACTGGTCTCCTGCTGGGACTCTGAGGAGCACAGGGACTGGCCTCCTGCTGGGACTCTGAGGAGCACAGGGACTGGTCTCCTGCTGGGACTCTGAGGAGCACAGGGACTGGACTCCTGCTGGGACTCTGAGGAGCACAGGGACTGGTCTCCTGCTGGGACTCTGAGGAGCACAGGGACTGGCATCCTGCTGGGACTCTGAGGAGCACAGGGACTGGTCTCCTGCTGGGACTCTGAGGAGCACAGGGACTGGCCTCCTGCTGGTGCTCAATATGGTGAGGCAGCAATTCATAATGATGCAGCTAAAATCCTGAACAGCAGTTTGGCACTTTACAGCCGCAGCCGCCCCACTGTGGCACCAGCTGTTCTTACAGGTCTCCCATCACAGTATCAACCAGGCCCTGCCCTGCACAGCTTCAGAGGTCTGACAGGATCTGGCTTTTGCATGCAAGTACGGCAACAAATAGGCAACCTTCAGGCTCAAAAGCCACGGAGCCACTGTCACCCCCTGAGACAGCTATAGTTCACATGTTGTGCTTTGAAAATCATGTACCCTAGCTTTACTTGTTGATCTAAATCCAAACAGATGGAGTCCTCCGTCACATCCGTCACCTCTGGACAGTTGTATTGATTCACGTTCTCATCACTCGCAGCTGTTTATCGTTGACATTTCGTTCCTAACTCGCCCGCCGCTTCCCGTCGTACTTACGCCATATTCAGTCTAAGTGCAGCCACTCTGTGCGTCAATAATTGGCCCAACCCTTCAACCGAAACATTTTCCAGTAATTACCTGGAGTCTGTAAACAAACCGCCTGAATTATGAAATATTATCACAGTGTTTTTCTTACACAGTGACGGATGGGACGCCATGTTGTTATCAGCCTCTGGGTTGTGACGCCATGTTGTTATCAGCCTCTGGGTTGTGACGCCATGTTGTTATCGGCCTCTGGGTTGTGACGCCATGTTGTTATCGGCCTCTGGGTTGTGACGCCATGTTGTTATCGGCCTCTGGGTTGTGACGCCATGTTGTTATCGGCCTCTGGGTTGTGACGCCATGTTGTTATCGGCCTCTGGGTTGTGACGCCATGTTGTTATCGGCCTCTGGGTTGTGACGCCATGTTGTTATCGGCCTCTGGGTTGTGACGCCATGTTGTTATCGGCCTCTGGGTTGTGACGCCATGTTGTTATCGGCCTCTGGGTTGTGACGCCATGTTGTTATCGGCCTCTGGGTTGTGACGCCATGTTGTTATCGGCCTCTGGGTTGTGACGCCATGTTGTTATCAGCCTCTGGGTTGTGACGCCATGTTGTTATCGGCCTCTGGGTTGTGACGCCATGTTGTTATCGGCCTCTGGGTTGTGACGCCATGTTGTTATCGGCCTCTGGGTTGTGACGCCATGTTGTTATCGGCCTCTGGGTTGTGACGCCATGTTGTTATCGGCCTCTGGGTTGTGATGCCATGTTGTTATCGGCCTCTGGGTTGTGACGCCATGTTGTTATCGGCCTCTGGGTTGTGACGCCATGTTGTTATCGGCCTCTGGGTTGTGACGCCATGTTGTTATCGGCCTCTGGGTTGTGACGCCATGTTGTTATCGGCCTCTGGGTTGTGACGCCATGTTGTTATCGGCCTCTGGGTTGTGACGCCATGTTGTTATCGGCCTCTGGGTTGTGACGCCATGTTGTTATCAGCCTCTGGGTTGTGACGCCATGTTGTTATCGGCCTCTGGGTTGTGACGCCATGTTGTTATCGGCCTCTGGGTTGTGACGCCATGTTGTTATCGGCCTCTGGGTTGTGACGCCATGTTGTTATCGGCCTCTGGGTTGTGATGCCATGTTGTTATCGGCCTCTGGGTTGTGACGCCATGTTGTTATCGGCCTCTGGGTTGTGACGCCATGTTGTTATCGGCCTCTGGGTTGTGACGCCATGTTGTTATCGGCCTCTGGGTTGTGACGCCATGTTGTTATCGGCCTCTGGGTTGTGACGCCATGTTGTTATCGGCCTCTGGGTTGTGACGCCATGTTGTTATCGGCCTCTGGGTTGTGACGCCATGTTGTTATCGGCCTCTGGGTTGTGACGCCATGTTGTTATCAGCCTCTGGGTTGTGACGCCATGTTGTTATCGGCCTCTGGGTTGTGACGCCATGTTGTTATCGGCCTCTGGGTTGTGACGCCATGTTGTTATCGGCCTCTGGGTTGTGATGCCATGTTGTTATCGGCCTCTGGGTTGTGACGCCATGTTGTTATCGGCCTCTGGGTTGTGACGCCATGTTGTTATCGGCCTCTGGGTTGTGACGCCATGTTGTTATCGGCCTCTGGGTTGTGACGCCATGTTGTTATCGGCCTCTGGGTTGTGACGCCATGTTGTTTTATCGGCCTCTGGGTTTATGGATCCGACGACTAATGATGAGACAGTTCAAGTATTGGGAGTTTACCTGCTTCACATTTTAATAAAAGATAGTTATTACTGCTTTTTAAATCTATTTATAACATATTATAGGTAGATAAGCTTTTATTTATGGCACTTGTCACTTTTCAAAATTCAACGACATTTATGGACATTTATCAACCTTTGTGGACCTCGATCATCTTCTCCTTGTGTTTTTAGTTATTATCATTGCGTTTCCTGTGTTTGATTCTCCGTTTTAAAACAACTGCTGTGATTTAAGGCAAACAAACAATAATTACATTGATTTGATTTGTTTTTTTTCTGTTTTGGGCAGGTTGTTTCTCTCTAAACACAAGTCAAGTAACAAACAACCAAAATGCTGAGAATACAATAGGAGAATATTATAAACATCCATCCATCCATCCATTTTCTTCCCCTTAATCCATTTCTGGGTCGGGGGGGTGGCAGTCAGAGCACCAGCCCCTCACTGATCCTCCTGCAGGTACTGAGTCCACAGGAGCTGAGATCTTTCAGTGGGGGCTTCAGGCAAAGTGGGGTTAAGTGTCTTGCCCAATGAAACAACGACAGCAGTCATCAGTGGGAGTCATGAAGTAGGTCTTACAGTGGGCTCGAACCCACAACCTTCAGGCTCTAAGGCCAATGCTCTACCAACTGAGCTACTGTCGCCCTGTAAACATCTTCCTAAAAATATGTTTTTGTGATTGAACAGAAGGTGTTTAATCCCAGATAAAACAGATGCTCTTCAGAAGTTGTTTACTCTTGTACATAATTAGTTCGTTAATCATGATATAATTTGAGATGCATAAGATTTCTAGCCATTAAATGCATCGATTGATATTCGTGAATCACACAAAACCCACGCAACACCGTCTCTCTTCCTCTGCTCCAATCCAGACTCAAAACTCACCTTTTCAGACTTTCTTTCCCCACATGACCAGTCACACGACCAGTCACAGGACCAGTCACACGACCAGTCACACGACCAGTCACACGACCAGTCACACGACCAGTCACAGGACCAGTCACACGACCAGTCACACGACCAGTCACATGACCAGTCACATGACCAGTCACAGGACCAGTCACACGACCAGTCACATGACCAGTCACAGGACCAGTCACATGACCAGTCACAGGACCAGTCACATGACCAGTCACACGACCAGTCACACGACCAGTCACAGGACCGGTCACACGACCGGTCACACGACCGGTCACACGACCGGTCACACGACCGGTCACACGACCGGTCACACGACCGGTCACACGACCGGTCACACGACCGGTCACACGACCGGTCACACGACCAGTCAGCCCAACACCTTGTTGTTAAAGGTGCTCTGTGTAATTTTTACAGTGGCTCCAAATGAAAAAACATGTTAACCAAAAACAAATGTGACCTTTTTAAGAATATTCACCTCCACCATGTTTTTAACTGTTGGGAATCTGACTTATAAATGTCCATGAGGCTGAGGACTCTGTGACTCCACCATCTTGAACTACAGAGGCTGATAAGGGACAAAAAGGAGTTTGAGCGGGAGTTAGGGACCACTGTCAAAGACCACATATTGTCCTGTGGCAGCTGCCGTAGTACCGTAAATTACAATATATGATCTCAACGCTAGATGGGAGTAAAAACTACACAGTGTACCTTTAATGCTAATGTTTTTCTAATTTCACCCTGTTTTAAACCATGTGTCCTTGGATGCATTATTATTATTATTATTACGTGAGTCAGTAAAAGAGACAGACCAGAGCTAAACCACCTCTCTCATGCTACAGCTCAACTCTATACAATGCTGTTCCAAAAGTCACAAACTCTAGCTATTATTGAACTGTTGCATCAGATAACAGCCCATGGCCCTCTCCTGCCCCCTCCTGTCCCCCTCCTGTCCCCCTCCTGTCCCCCTCCTGTCCCCCTCCTGTCCCCCTCCTGTCCCCCTCCTGCCCCCCTGCTCTGGCTGATGCATAAGCTGCTTGCATGGGAGCGTATGTCTGTGCTTGTGAATGAGCTCTGCACACTGGAGCTATAATCAGCGCTGTTTCCCGGTGGACAGACTTAATGCGTTTAAAGCAGTCCCCGGGCCTCCGCAGACACACACACATCGGCCGCACTTTCTCCACACGCTCCAGACTTAATCTAAACGCAGGACTTTGGCCGTGATGTTTGAGTGAAGGCTGAGTTCTGTGCTTACCCTTCGCACGGCTCGCTCTTCTCAGAGTTGGCTTTTTGCTGCTGTTTTCACCGATGGGAGGCTCTGGATTGAGGTCTTTTTTATCAATATGCAAACTCTAGGAAAGTACAGATACTTTCAATCTTGCCAGGTAACTTTTTAGCCGACTAGAACTAAAGTATGTATTAGGATGTTTTCTTTTCACATGTATCCTTAGCAGCGTCGTCAACTATGGCCGAGGAGTGATCGTAGCAACAGGCTCCTCTCACTGCGCTGCCGAACGGAACGTTTTAGGAGATCCTTCAGCTGTCAGACTGTACAACAAACCTGTATGAGTACCTGAGTTTCCGGCTGCTGGACACCTGAATTTCTCCTACGGGGATCAATAAAGTATTGATTTATCCATATATAATACTCAATCATTAATTCATTCACATGCCATTTATTAGTCAATGTCTGGGTTGGTGCGGAGTGGGGAAGTAGAGCCCTGCACGGGCCTATTATCTGGGCCCGAGCCCGGCCCTGGCCCGAGGGGGTGGCGCCCCAGCCCGGCCCTGGCCCGACATGGTTTCTGAATTCTCAAGCCCGAACCCGTATCAAGCCCGACCTTTATTTTTTCTTTAACCTCTAATAACAATGTGTTAGCGTGACAGAACGCATATTCATCGGGTGCGTTCATAAATGTAATCTGCCGCTCTGCAGTTACAAAAAACAGCTTTCTATTTTTTCTATGAATAAACAAACGTTTCTGACAGATCAAAGTGGACAAAAAGAGCATGTTAAAATATGGGCTCATGTTTCGATCAGCAGCTTGAGAACTAGTAGTGGAATTGTTATTATTATCAATTATCAATTATTATTTAGTTTTTTGTTAATGAGCGGACAGCAAATCCAAACATAAGGTAGGCTAAAAACAACAAAACGCTTAAACCTTATAAAAGTGTTTATTAGTAGGCTAAACGCAGCAAAATTCAATCAATATTTTTCTTCTAAATAAAGACAACAGCTAATTGCCTGGGCGGCGTAGGCCTATAACAAATCTTCACCTGAACATGGCGATACAGAGCCGCTTAACATGGCAAATGTCCTCCGTTGTTTGAACATCACAAAAGGAACAGTCTATTTGGCATCATGCAGAAAAAGGACTGCATCCACCGTTTCAGGGGCAAGTCCAGTCCTCCTTTCCTCTAAGACTCTTCCAGCTGCGCTAAAAGCACGCTCGCTGCTGCTGCTGCTGCTGCTGCTGCTACTGCTGCTGCTGCTGCTGCTGCTGCTGCTGCTGCTGCTGCTGCTGCTACTGCTGCTGCTGCTGCTGCTGGCCGGGACACTGAAGACCATGCGGGCCAGACGTGCCAGTAACGGCAATGTGGTCTCGTGTTGCTTCCACCAGCTCAGTAGATCCCTTCCATCAGCTTCCATGGTGGGGTTGAGGCTGAGGTAGACCTGGATTTCATCAGCATCGCTAAATGGGCGCAGAAATTCCACAAGGAAGGCTAGAACATCTGGGGAGACATTGCGCAATCGCGTGCTCTCACCACGGCTCTGAAGAAGCTCCTGCAGCTCTCCATGGACTGACTGGATTGACTCCAGTGTGAGGAAGACTGTGCTATACCTGGTCTCTGCCATTTGTTTCACAGTTTTTGGCAGCTGACTGGCCAGACCAGATTGTTTAAGATAGCGGACTAAAGCCTTCGCAGCCAACAGGGTCTCTGCTACTTCTGGGACTACTTCAGCCAGCTCATCTGTGTTCAAGGCATGTCGGAGGACTGTGTTATACAGGTGATCTTGACAAGCCAGGTGCCTGTATGGACGGAGAGCGGCCACCACGTTTGCACCCTGGTCAGTTACCCAGACAACATTGTTCAAAACTGATGCATCAAAGCCGAGGACTGTGACTAACTGCTGTTGAAGCTCTATTCGGATATTATCTCCTGTTTTGGCATGATTTGGGAAGCATGTTGTGGTGAGTAGCTTGCTCTTCAGTTCAAATGTTGGTGTTACATAGTGACATGTGATCGCCATGTAGCTCATCTTATGAAAATCATCCGTCCACATATCTGTTGTCATGCCAATATTTATCAGTGACATCACCCCCTTTATCTCCTCAACTGTCCCTCCTCTCCTTTCACTTGCCATCATTTTGCACCTTCGGGAGATTGTAGTGGGGTCGGCGAGAACTTCCTTGGCTGAAATGCGGCCATATGTTGCATCGACATTTATTAATTCTTGTGCTAACTCTCTGAAACCGACTCCAGCAATCGTTTCAAACGGCCGAATGTCCATGCAACATAAGTTCACACATTTTTTTGTGACGTCTGACTTCACTCTTTCTGGTGGTGGTTTTGCGAAATAATCGCCCACACTCATTTGTCTGTGACCGGACTGACCGCTGCTGCTGGATCCGCCACATGACCGTTCAAAATGTCTATGGAGATGTGATGAACCTGTTTTTTTGCTGTCATATGACAGAACAGCTTTGCATACGACACACTGAACAAACCCGGTTGGCTCATCTTGAATGGTTGTAATAAGATTAAACTTAGTCCAGAATGGAGCTTTTCCCTTGGTGTTGTCCATTCTCTTCAATTCGCCATTTTCAATCTTTTTCTTTATGTCGTTCTCCATGTTGTTTGTGCGGTGGGAGTCGGGAATTCGCGCGGATGTGTAAGTGACAAGTGTAGGCCTAAAGAAGGGTGTTGCGTGCGTGCCTGTGTGACAGAGCATCTGTGTGTTAACTGTGTTTCCATTTAAACACACCAAAAAAGGTTCTTTAATTAGCAGTAAAAAAAAAAGAAAAAAGGAGAAATGAATTCAATTGAAAAATAACAGTGCGTGCCCGAGCCCGGCCGTGTCCGAGGTAATTATACGGTCATCGGCCCGAAGCCCGGCCCTCGGGCTGTCGGCTGTCGGGCCCCCCGGGCCTAGGGCTCCAGTGCAGGCCTCTATGGGGAAGGCCATCAGTGCTGCCTCCAAATTCACACACCACCACACCCTCAGCGATCCCCCAGCACAGGTGGTGTAGTCGCTGGGTGGAGCAGGTCACATGCTTTTCTGTGGTTCTTCTGAAAGACAAGTTCAGATGTTTTACCTTGTTAACTTGTGTCGGCTGCAGCAGAGGTGGTGCAGCCGCTGGTTGATGTTTGCAGAGTGTGCTTGGTTTGGACCATTTTCTCTGCTCTGGTTCAGAGTGAAATCCTGAATGCTTTCTCAGTATTATTCAAAAAAACATTATCAATCCTCCAGTGGATTTACGCTTGATCTGCTTGAAAATGTGGCTGCTGCTGAACAGTTCTCTGTCTGCTCTATACAGATGTTGACAAAGACATTTACCTCAAATCCAAGTCAAGTCACGTGTCTCTGCTTTCCAAATCAAGTCAATTCACCAACACGGACCAGAGAATAAAACAGTTCAGACAAAGGTAAAAGAAACAATGGCAAACACATAGAGCCATTGGTCTGTACGGGGCAGAGGCCGATGTCGTTGGGTTAGTGTCCTGGATAATCACCAATGTCTTTAGACTCTTCTGCATCAGCAAAGAACAACTTTGAAAAAGTCTAGATACAGTAGAGGGGGTCTGCAAGATTTGTCATAATAGAAAAGTAAATAAGTCCAAAGTTTAAAGCTAACATGAGGTTATGACGTGTCCTCGCTTCACCGAACATTATTTTCTCTCAGACTACAGAGTAATTATACTTTCCCTCTTCCTGCATTCCCTTCTTACAGAGTTGTGTAATCTTTGTTTTTCTTTTCATTTTGAACTCAAACTCCGCTTGTCTAACGGCCCTGAGTTTTTCCGGGTGCCTTTGTTCGTTGAATTGCTTCCATTAGAGCCTCCAAAGCGGCCTCTGGGTTGGTAGTTTGTTGAATATGGACCGGGTCATTACCGCAGGACTTTCTCACCTCTGACTGACCACTCACTTGGTCTCACACACTCCTGTTGTCCGGTCGATTGGTCAGCGATGAAGTGGAAAATTGTGGCTAGTTTTAATCCGTGGACTTCCAGGTGTTCTGATGTTATTTATTCTATTTTCGTCCATTGTTTTCCAACAGAGTGAAAAAAGTTTATTTGAATGATAATAATAATGCATTGGTTTAAATGGCTCCCCCCTGGACTGCCACCTTAACGTGGTGGGGGAGTTTGAGTACTCGGATGATCCTGGGAGCTATGCTGTCTGGGGCTTCATGCCCCTGGTAGGGCCTCCCATGGCAGACAGGTCTCGTGTGACGAGTCAGACAAAGAGCAGTCCAGAAGACACCATGGACAGCACTCATACGAAACCAGTGACGTCGCCCGGCATGGCGCAGCCGGGGCCCCACCCTGGAGCCAGGCCTGGGGTCGGGGCTCGTAGGCGAGCGCCTGGTGGCCGGGCCTTAGCCCACGGGGCCCGGCCGGGCTCAGCCCGAATGGACGACGTGGGCAGTCCCTCCTGTGGGCCCACCACCTGCAGAGGGGTCCGTGGTGGCATGGTGCAGAGAGGACTGGGCAGCGGTCGAAGGCGGAGACCTCGGCGACCCAGTCCGCACACACAACATCTGGCTCTTGGGACGTGGAACGTCACCTCATTGGGGGGGAAGGAGCCCGAGCTTGTGGGGGAGGTTGAGCGTTACCGACTAGAGATAGTCGGCCTCACCTCCACACACAGCTTGGGCTCTGGAACCCAACTCCTTGAGAGGGGTTGGACGCTCCACTTTTCTGGAGTTTCCCGCGGGGAGAGGCGGCGAGCTGGGGTGGCCATTCTCATTGCCCCCCATCTCAGCCGCCACGTGTTGGAGTTCTCCCCGGTGAATGAGAGGGTCGCGTCCCTCCGCCTCCGGGTGGGGGACAAGTCTCTCACTGTTGTAACGGCCTACGGGCCTAACAGCAGTGCAGAGTACCCGGCCTTCTTGGAGTCCTTGGGAGGGGTACTGGACGGTGCACCGCCCGGGGACTCCGTTATTCTCCTGGGGGACTTCAACGCCCATGTGGGAAACGCCAGTGACACTTGGAGAGGGGTGATCGGGAAGAGCGGCCCCCCTGATCTGAACCCGAGCGGTGTTCAGTTGTTGGACTTCTGTGCCAGTCACAGTTTGTCCATCACGTACACCATGTTCGAGCACAAGGGTGTCCACCAGTGCACGTGGCACCAGGACACCCTAGGCCGGAGGTCGATGATCGACTTTGTTGTCGTATCATCTGACCTTCGACCGCGTGTCTCGGACACTCGGGTAAAGAGAGGGGCGGAGCTGTCAACCGATCATCACCTGGTCGTGAGTTGGATCCGCTGGCAGGGGAAGAAGCCGGTCAGACCTGGCAGACCCAAGCGTATAGTGAGGGTCTGCTGGGAACGTCTCGCTGAGCCCCCTGCCAGACGGACTTTCAACTCACACCTCCGGGAGAGTTTCTCCCAGGTCCCGGTGGAGGAGGGGGACATGGAGTCCGAGTGGACCATGTTCTCTGCCTCAATCGCCGATGCGGCGGCCCGTAGCTGTGGTCGCAAGGTCTCTGGTGCTGGTCCCGGCGGCAACCCCCGAACCCGGTGGTGGACACCGGCAGTAAGGGAAGCTGTCAGGCTGAAGAAGGAGTCCTATCGAGCCATGATGGTTCGGGGGACTCCTGAGGCAGCTGTCCAGTACCGGCAGGCCAAGCGTGCCGCGGCCCGGGCTGTTGCAGAGGCAAAAACCCGGGACTGGGAGGAGTTCGGAGAGTCCATGGAGCATGACTATTGGTCGGCCTCAAAGAAATTCTGGCAAACCGTCCGGCGCCTCAGGAGGGGGAAGCAGTTTTTTGCCAACACCATGTACGGTGCGGGTGGAGAGCTGCTGACCTCAACGGGGGATATTGTCGGGCGGTGGAAGGAATACTTTGAGGTTCTCCTCAATCCCCCCGTCACGTCCTCTGTCTCAGAGGCAGAGGCTGAGGATGCTGGGGCGGATACATCCATCTCCCTGGCTGAGGTCACCAAGGTGGTTGGTAGCCTCCATGGTGGCAAGGCTCCGGGTGTGGATGAGATCCGCCCTGATTATCTAAAGTCTCTGGATGTTGTAGGACTGTCTTGGCTGACACGTCTCTGCAACATCGCGTGGCGATCGGGGGCGGTGCCAATGGAGTGGCAGACCGGGGTGGTGGTCCCTCTCTATAAGAAGGGGGACCGGAGGGTGTGTTCCAATTATCGTGGGATCACACTCCTCAGCCTCCCCGGTAAGGTCTACTCCAAGGTACTGGAGAGGAGGCTACGGCCGATGGTCGAATCTCGGATCCAGGAGGAGCAGTGTGGTTTTCGTCCCGGTCGTGGAACACTGGACCAGCTCTATACTCTCCATCGGATACTCGAGGGTTCATGGGAGTTCGCCCAACCTGCCCACATGTGCTTTGTGGATTTGGAGAAGGCGTTCGACTGTGTTCCCCGGGGTGTCCTTTGGGGGGTTCTCTGGGAGTACGGGGTCCGGGGTCCTCTGCTGAG